ACACAAAGGAGCTCCTGACGCTTATTACTCACAGCATAAAATGACAAATATTACCAATACGAGGACTCCATTAAGAACATACACAGCCTGTGCTGCATGACCCTGCTGCTTTTGGCGGGGGGTGCCGAGGGCGCAGTGCCGGGCTCAGCCGCAGGCGGCCGCTCCGCGGCGGGGGGGTCGGGGAGGCCCTGGGCCGCCGCCACCATCTCCGAATGTTGAGCATAGAGATCCACACCTCGGTTTTCCAGGTAGAGTGCTGTGCCGGCGTGAATGCCGCTTCTTTCTTAAAAGTGTGAGCCAATTTTCATGGGGCCAGTCGATATCCCTGAGCCATCGCCTCCGGTACAGCTGTTGTAGTCTGAGTTTTTGCAGCCCGTTCTTATTAATGCTTTTCTCTAAATCTTTAATAACAGAAAAATGCCGTTCTTCCCAACATGGCTGATGACTCGGCTCATAGCTTACAGGAGTAAGAATTTTTCTTGCCGTGTCCATATTCCCTTGCGCCAAGGTGTTTTCGCTTCACTTTTACGTTGTTTTTTTTTTCCGCCTCACTTTTATCTATGGATCATCCCCAATTAAGGGAGGACACAGACCAGACAGTTCAGATTCTTTTTCAGGATTTACAGCATCAGGATGTAAAAGATTATCACAGCATTCTGCCTCTTCAAACAATAAATTTGGCTCTTTAAAGTGTCCCTTAGCCTTGCCCAGACCAATCAGCGCGGATAAGTTTTTTATCGAACTTACTCCCCGCTTTTCTAAAAAGGAAAAAGTCTGAGGACTACCTCTCGTTCAAATATTCCTGCCCGGGCAAATTCCTCAAATTCCTGGTGCAGCTGAACGACCTTCCTTAAAGTCCGATCAAGTAGCCAACAACCGGTGAAGGCTGTTCCTGGGTATTATCCCTTTCAGCCTGTAATTCCCTTTGGCCTTTCCAGGGTCGAACCCCCAACACAGCCTGGCCTTTCCAGGGTCAGACCCCCAATTCAGCCTATACCGGGGTAGCCCTCTTCAGATCGCCAAAATCCCCTGAAGCCGGACCAGCTGCACTATGTCAGACTTACGAATCCCGACGCTTTAGGAGACGGCACACATCTCCTGCCGTACTGCCGTCGACAGTGACCTTATCGCCTTCCAGCTCCGAATTTTTCCGTTCTGCCGTTTCCCGGGTTCCGTCTGATGAAAAAGCAGAGTCTGGGTAACCCTGTTCGGTGCGCCACTTGCAGCGGGCAGAGGAAGCAAGCAGCCGATTCAATGTGAATGACAGAGCGAGCTTCAACTTTATTGAGAGAAATCACACCTTATATAAGCAATCTACAATACACTACTTGCAACTCTACTGGATACATTCAAGAAACTACATTATAATGTCTCAGCCATTGGGTACATCTAAAAAGTCACATTATAATACACCAGCCCCTTGTGGCATTTCTGGTATGCATAAACATCTTTCTTGCTGCGAACCTGCTTCTCTCCCAGGGCTGCTTTCCTCTGACCCCCAAGGTCATAATGCGCCCCAACTTATCTCTGTGTTCTCACAACAGTCCTCGCTAGCACAACTGAGCCTTGGGTCTTCATCCTTGTTTACATAACTGTACCCTGGGTTCTTTCCTCTGTTTACCTCAGGTGGCTGGGACCGACTTCTGCAGGGAGCTATGGCCGACCAGCTCCTGCAGGGAGCTATGGCCTTGCTCTCTGCAAGCTGTTCTCCAACAATTCCCCCTTTTTCTTTTTGTGCAGGCTGCACAAGCATAAATTTACTAATATTTGTCATCATACAACTATATGCTATTTTAATAATTACTATAATCAATAATACTATTCCTAATCACCGCAATAAACTGTTAAAGGTACCCTATTAAGTACAAAGCATCCCATATTACCTATATTCAAAGAATATGACTAAATACTACAAAATAAACAGTAAGGAAAATGGAAAATGGAATAGCACACTTAATTAATATAAGTACTAACATTCAGATCCGCAATTGTTAGGGAACCCTGGATACAGCGAGAGTTTAGAGTGCCCTTCCTCACAAACTGGAAACCCTACGTGATGCGTCCATCCGTAGGTGAGGCATCCAAAGTCGCTGCAACCAGGTCCAGCCCTTAAATCAACAGGCCAAAATAACTGGCAACTTCCTTTGAGCGGAAACATCTGATTTCATCCTCCTGTTGGGTTCCACCTGGAGCCTGGCCAGTACTCCAGGGGGAAAACCAAGGGAGTTTCTAAATAAGGTTAAATACTTGAGCTCTTAATTCTTAATATTACTAAACAAAAAAAGTTGAATACACGCATTCTTACAGCATCTTATTCTTATTAATAACTATATTTTATCTAAAGCACATCTTGCATAAGTGACTACTAAGCTTATATATGTCATTAAGAAGTTACAATTACTGTTAGCATTTTCTCTTAAAAGAATTGGCAACTGTAGTGTAGTTTGTTCTGTTGCAGTAGCAAACATCACTCAGACATTCTGCTTGATCGATCAGTCGAAGAGATCACAAACTGTCCGCACAGGGGCACCCACAGCACCCACAGCTGGCTCCTGAGTGCTGGCTGTCTCTCGCACCCCAGGTGTGGTTGCACACACCTTGCCGGTGACCAGTGGAGACCGAGACCTGTGGAGACACAAGCATAACCTCTTCCCCAGGTTATTAAAGGAAATAGTCCTTCCCAGTTACCCCTTTTTAAGTTTTGTTAACACTTGAGCTTTACTTTGGACTTCTTGTTGATCTGGTATCTCTGATGAAAAATGACACAATACTGGTGGCACCTGTGAGACAGGGGAAACGTTTAAAATGTTCATGACATATAATGCCTTATTTAGCCTTTTGTGAGGTGTAGGTTGGTATCTTGCATCTTGCCCCTTTGCTGTTGTTGTTGTAATAGACGCTTTAGCTGCTAGATGTATGCTTCACAGTGGCCTGACCGGCCGGTGAATGGGGAATGCAGGTCAGATGCTTGACTCCCCGCTGTATGACAGGATGCAAACAGTGCTCCAGGAAAGGTATTAACAGACACATGTGCATATTTTTACATTTGAAATGCAGCTGAGTGAGTGACAGCAGATTGCTATAATTCTGAGGAGGTGAGTCCCCAAGAGTCGACACCACTTCCCTGTTGAAGAGATGGAGTCTGTCTGGTATTCAGGGCGAGTTGCAGTGATGTCTTTAGCTGGATGCCTTGATAAAGAACACTGCTTTGTATTGCTCTGGCATTCTGGTGGAAAAAATGCATGTGTTTTACAGCAGAGCGAAAGGTTGACCTAGAGCCAAAATCTCTCCCCCCTTTTTTTTTTTTTTAAAAGCACTTTAAAGGTCTGTC